GTGTGTGTGTGTGTGTGTGTGTGTGTGTGTGTGTGTGTGGAAAGGGTAAGGACTTCCTTTTGGGTCCAGCATGAACAATAGGATGTGAGAAGGTCAGGACTGTGAGTGCAGTGACACATCATGATGCTCCTCTGAGGAGGACAGAGGTGTATTWGGACTGGTTGGCACATTTCATTTGTATTCAGTTGCAGTTAAATCCAGATTTATGGTTTTATTTTCGTTGTAATCAGAAAAGCAAAAATAGGCCTAAAACGTGAATGTAGCTGCAGACAATAATTCTTTTGATTCTTCACATGTTCACCTTAATTAATGTGTAAAAAAACACAGTTATCAGTAAGAACCATTTCATTTTATTTGAAGGGACTTGCTTCTGTCATAATGTTAAATAATATTATATTAACAATTTTTTTATTATATTAACAATTTTCACACATTCTCCTACGATGTGACCAATGCTGTAAGTGTCCTTGGGTGTCCTGAAAGGCGCTTTTCAAATAAAATTATTATTATTATTATTATTATTATTATTATTATTATGTAGTGTAATAAATCTGAGAAGGACGTAGTTTTCTACTTATTGTGTAGTAAACTACAGCTTGTGCCAGAAAGATTACTCATTCACCACAAACTTACAAAAGTCATTATACCGGCYTTTGACAGGTTATTTTCTTTTGCTTTAATTGTTCAACTTTAGCTGTAATAAGGAGAAAAAACGTTTGTGAAATGTTAAATTTCTTTCTTTTTCTGTGTTCCTCTGTTTCTTCTGCAGTACTTGGGCCATGTAGAAGTGGAGGAATCCAGAGGCATGCACATCTGTGAGGATGCAGTGAAGCGCCTTAAGACGGTAGGTCTCCAAACAAACAAACAAACAAACAAACAAATATTTGTACCTCCAAGAAAGAGGGCCCTCACATCAGTTAATCCCTGTCTCCCGTATCATCACACATTTGACTATTTTAAAAACATCTCATTCATCTAATTTATCTCTATGGTGTTAGGATACTATCCAAAATAATTGTATGTGTAGAGTCTAAATTTGTACATTTAAGTAAAAAAAAGTGCATAAATTTCATATTTGTATTTGTATGCATGTAAAATCAGATGTGTTATCTGTKAGAATACAAGTTTCAACTTTGCAACAATGCAAGTACAATGACAAATTTACAAGTACAATTCTTCTACTATCTACTCGAGGAGCTGTGAAAATAACGGACAGTCATGGTACACTGAAAAGATGGATAAAACATCATTCTGCACATGCGTGAAAAAGACCACTTGTGCAGCAAACAGCAACAGTAAACACTCTGCAAACTGGGGAAAACATCTTGCAAGAAATGAAACTGCAAAGAAAAGAAACGATGCTTTCATAAAACCTACTGCATGTTAGAAAAATGATGCAAGTTCAAAAGCACATGACGGAACCAGACCAGTAGGGGGACAGGACCACCTTCTATGGGAGCAGACAAACTCTGTAAACACAACAATCTGCTGAATGAAAAAGCATTCGGAGGCTTTGATATATCTTTATTATATATGTATTAGTGATATATATACAGTATGTCAATGTAAGGAGGCTAGAGTCAAATCATTTCCATGAACATATCAGAGAAGGATTGAAAACAAAGGAGATAGTGGATTTATGATGAGATATGGTATAGGGCTGGGTTAAAAAATCAATTTAATCGATCTAGATCGATTCTAGTTCAAATTTGGGAAGATCGATTCACAAGTCATAAGATTGATTTTCCCCCCCACGGGTGTTGTGTGCGACGAAGCTGCACGTTTCCGTGTTGTGTGTCACTCCTGGCTTGCCGTAGGTTTACAGCCAGTTGACGGTCAGTGCTAATGTTTGCTCCCRACAACAAGTTGTCTGGAGCAAAACAAAAGAAACAAAGGAACCACTAACATTACAACWCTTTCTCTTGCAATTCATTTATAGTTTAAACCCTTTGAAACTTGAGACAGTTTTGTTTCAAGATTAAACTCCAATTTACAAGTTTGCCCTTTATGTTTATAATTTCACCAAGTTAGAATTATTTTCTACTATTTTCAGAATTAGTTCCTTTGAGAATGTCTTCTACTGTATATCAAAGTAAATGTGTTACTGCTTGATATCCTTAACTAATTTAGAAATCGATCAAACTGAATCCTGAATCGTCCTGAATCATTGTGRATCGAATCRATTWGGGAAATTTGAATGGATMCACAGCCCTAATATTGTATATTATTTAATTCTTTAAGTCTTGCCTGGTTTCATTACGTTTTTATCTTTTATTCCATCTCTTAATCAGTATCCTGCTTTTCTGTTACAGTCATTCTTTGAGCATTTGTCATTTGATTTTTCTATATTCTCCTACTGTTCTTTCACACTTGTTGCATATTTTTATATATATTTTTAAGCAACTTCTCTTTAACTTATGATACTGTTAACACTACTCTGTGGCCAAGACAGTAAATCATCCTGAAGACTGGAGCCAGGTGGAGAACAAACCTTCAGATGGTTGAAGTACAGGTGGAGACGTCTTCATGACCTGCAGAACATCAGGACTGATGCTGGAGCTTTCTGATACATGTGTACATTAAAGTATCAGAAATACTCAGAAACACCACGACAGGCCAGAGCAGGGGGATGAAAATGAATCAATGAAAATATTCATTTCATTTTRTTGTGACCGTTGAAAGAAATATTGTTAGTAAAAATTATTGTTGATTAATACAAAAGTATTTATGTCACATTGTAGTAATAATGTAGTAGCAGTACATTATATTATGTGAAAGAGTTGAGTTATTATTTGTGATAATGCTTATGATTCATTAAACAATAGTTTAACAGTTTTATTTTCATTGTTTCATCTACCACTTAGAGCTAGGTGGTATGACCCAAATTTTATATCACGGTGGTTTCACAGTATTTGATGGTATTTTTTTCCTTCACAGCTCAGCTGATAATAAAATGTATAAACTTTGCTTATTGACTTTTTCCTTTTACTGTACCTCTGTATCACTGTTTCCCTCCTCTTGTACGTCTTTACTTCTTTGCACACGAATCAACTCTGCTACACTACAAAACTACTTCCCTCTGGGCTTTTCACAATAAAAGCACGCTAGAGTCTCCATGCATTAATGTCTCCATTATAATGTAGCGCGTTAAATCTAACCGTGCACGTCACTGAAGAGTTGTTTACTGTTCAGCGATGGTGAAAAYGGGATGTTTTTTTTACGTCAGACCATATAAGTGGCTGAACCACACCACCCGCTACCAGTTGTTCCAACAATAATGTTAGCATGCTAATGCGGTTAGCAGTGCTGCAAGGAAATGTGTCCCCAGGGAAACAATTCWCTGGCGGCGTGACGAAACGTTCCACACGTGTTCAGGCTTTTTACACCAGTATTCAGAAAAGTCATATCATAACAAAAATAAAAACCAGTTTTCAGTACAAAGCGGTATACCGCCCAGCACTACTACCACTCACAGCTCATAGTTACGCAAAAACAAAAATGTACAGTACAGTACAACGTGACATGTATGAACATTAGTGTGTTGACACTGAACTTATTCACAGTTTACCTTTGATTTATGGTGATTCTAATGAAAATCAATGTCTGTAGTTTTGACAAAGCTTTAAAAATATAGCCAACAATGTCTTAAAATCAAACCAACATAGGCACAGAAAGCTTTTTAAACTCGCTGTGAACACAAATTAGGCTTTTGTTCTTTTCAAGCTGTTCTGAATAAACTTCGACTGAACACGAAACATGAGGCTGTTTTTTTATTTTCTCCTCGTGTCGTCTTGCTAACGCTAACACCATGCTAAGCTATATTTTCAACATAGAAAGTGTTTAAACACATCCTCTTAAAAATACTGAAAATTGCTACGTGTGCTCAATGTGAAATAAATAATACAAATTTCTRTTAAAAGTAAAAAAGAGTTTAACTTGCAGTTGTCTGGGGATTTGATGGTGGTTGACTTGAGTTCCTTTGCTGGCATGGTCTGAGCACTTCTGTTATTTGTTTTTGAAATTTGATATTTTTCTAATATGCACTCGGTTTTATGAATGCATCAGTTTAACTTTGCATGTTTTTTTCTTACATTTGTTTTTTTCCGTTTGCAGAGCATTTACTGTTTGCTGCACATTTTCACCTGTCGGCCACAGTAAAATGGTCTTTTTCACGCATGCAGAAGGACGTTTGATCGATCTTTTCAGTGTTTCATGAATGTTGTCTGTTATTTTTGACAGCTCCTCAGAGTGGAAGAATTGTACTTGCAAATGTGTGATTCGTACTTGTATTGTTGCAAAGTTGTAACTTTGTAACTTGTATTTGTAACTTCTAAACTTGTATTCTCACAGATAACATATTTGATTTTATATAAATACTGGGGGTGTAAGAAAATATCGATACACTGAAATATCGCGATATTTCATTTCCCGATACTGTATCGATATTCTAAAGCCCTGTATCGATTTTTTTATTAAGGTTTAAATGTCAACCTTCTTGCCAATCGTTCATTTTTATGTTGTAGTTCAGCCTCTGACCACTAGTTGGCAGCAGAGAGCCAGACATTTGGCTCCTCTACCTCTTGAGCGCCAGAGACTAAGGGTAGCTTTAGCATTGTAAGTAAACATTAGCTTTTCTTTTTTTTCAGTAAGAGGTTTTTATTTAATAGAATTTTTGGACAAAAAATCGCAATATATCACAATATATTGCCTTGCTTACAGTATCGCAATATATCGGGATATATCGTATCGTGACCCCTCTGTTATGATATGTATCGTATCGCCAAATTCTTGCCAATACACAGCCCTAATAAATACAAATACAAATCTGAAATTTATGCTTGTTTATTGTGCAAATCTTAAATTTAAGAACATTTATTGACTTAATTGTACAAATTTAGACTCTTGCACAATGCACATACAATGTTTTTTGATAATTACTCTACCTCACAATAACCGTGTTTCCATCAAGGCTTTTTGATGCGCATTTAGAAGTGTCGCATTAAAAATGTGGAAAAAAAATCGGATGGAAACAGCAAAATTAGAAAAAAAAAATCCTCAATTAGCTAAAGTTTTTATGCACACTTGAGGTGGTTTTTGGATGATTCACAAAGTAGTTAATGCGCAAAACGCGAGATGGAAACACGTTTGCCGAATAAATTCTGACATAGCGCATATTTACCTCACGTGACGTTCAGCTGTTTCTGTTTTCCTGCCTCGTCCCGGATGTTATCATAAACTCGCAAAAACATGGCTTTATTTCCCTACGTCTCCTGGCAGCGTTAAACTTAGCCTGTACTAGCTGAATAGATAGAATAATTACAACTTGCCCAATAGCAAGGCATTCATGAAAAAATCGCTCCATTGTCCCGAGATGATTTGCTTCTGCTTGTTAGCAAGTTTCACTTCCTGTTTACTACCGCAAAGCTTGTCGCCGATGTCTGACRTAATCACGTGTTGTGTAGCCTCATCTGACGTAATCACATGTTGTGTAGCGTAGCCTCGTCTGACGTAATCACGCGTTGCGTAGCCTCGTTTATTTGCATCAAACAGTCAAGAGGGAAACTAGATGGAAACAGTCTAGATTCGAAATTTTATTTATTTAATTTTTTGCAAATTTTGAAATTTTCGATTAAAAATTCACTCTACAACTGGATGGAAACACGATTACTTTCTTGCAGATCACCCTTATCTGTCAGTTTACATTTTATACTTTCTTAGTGTTGTTATTCCACTTAAGACTCTTGTTCTTAGATGGTCAGTGGTTTCTGATTGTTGGCTCTCGTAAACAAGGGTCTCCACCCAAATCTCCCTCATTCTCAATGTACTTTGTCTCAGTCAGAGCGA